AAAAATTCGCACACAAATCAATTTTCCGTCACAATCCTAAAAATTATAAACCCCGTTCGAAGAACAATAAATGTTCCGGGACGGGGCGAATTCGTAACTCCTCCCCAATGTCCAAATAAGAGAATTCGTCCGTGGTTACGGGATTCCAATCGATATCGACAAACTCGTCTTTAATCGAGACGGGATCTCTGGAATTAAAACGTACATTAAAAATATATATATATTAATAATAAAAATAATAATAAAAATAAAAATAATAATAATAAATTATAATAAATATATATATATTAATATAATATATAATAAATATAATATAATATATATTATATAACGAATCGGTGATATCCCACGAAATTTCAAAATTCATCACAATCATGCGTTTACCCCGTTTTAGCGAAATTCGTCCACATCTTGGTCATTCGTTCCAACGTGATCCTGTCTTTCGTTCCAATCGCCGGTGGATCCGGATTTTCAACTTTGCATTTCGGCAGATATAACAAGTACGCGATATCGTCCACGTGAGATGTTCCTGAGATAAATCATTTGATATAATATAGATTTCTCGAGTTAATGGCCTTAAATATCGCATTTGTCACTTAAAACACGATTATTATGGAAATATCGTGATGCATTGATATATAAGATATTACGTGTATTAAATATAAATAATAAATAATTTGGAGAAAAATATAGTTACCGGAAGCTTGGCGTTTCACTAGCAGATCGGTGGGTGTTTTCTCATTGCCAACGTAGGAAAATTTGCAAAAGTAACTAGGCGAGGTTACCCTTCTTATTCGATCCTGCAGCCATACGATCGCGGGAATGGCGAAATAAACGTGGCCCAAAAATTCCGTCAATTCATCGAAATTATTGGCGGTGATTGATTTCCCATTGAAATAACGCTGCTTCACCGATCTGTATAAATGTTTAACTTTCTCGTCCTCCAACATCTTCAACGATCCTAAGTTTCTCACATGCGTCAATAGATATAAATTGAATATTCGCACGAGTTGCTCATTTTTATCTGAAAAAGAAAGAATATACATATATATATATATATTATTATACATATGATTTTATTATTATAGTCGATTTTTCTTTTTAAATGAAAAATTACTTTGCAAAAACATAATGAACTCGTTGGACGTGTGACTGACCATCACAGGGATGTCTATCTCTTTTTTGATTAATTGCTCGAAAGACTCTGGTAAAACAGGATTCTCCGCTATTTCGTCGCTATTCATTCCAAAAGCAAGGTTAAAACTTAATTTCTCCTAAAGAAATAAGATATATATATATATATTTTTTAAAGATGAAATCGATTATTTTTATTTTTTCAAATTTGTTTAAAAGAAGCTTGGAAGAGTTTTGTGAAACGGAAACTTGTCAATATTTCAATTCTTGGTAAAATAACAAGAAAATAGAAAGAAAACATTTCGAAAATTTCAAGAAACTTTGTGATTGTTTGTTATAATAATTGAAAAAAACGTTTGATTAAAAGCACAAGGTAAATATGAAAGGAAGAATATATTTGCCTCTTTGGACAGGAGAGCAGTCTGAGCGCGTGCGATATCTTCAGCAGATACTGTCCGCAGGAATTCGATTACTTCGACAGGATCGTTTGACAAATTTCCAAGATACTTGGCCAAATTAAAGCCACGCTCTGGACGGCTTTGATTAATCGCCCAAAAACTTCTCATCGATCCGCTTTGCATAATCGCTTTGTGGAATAATCCTGAAATATTAGAACAACCAATTGTTAGCCAAGAAAGCTTAAAGAATAAATATTTCAATTAAATAGATCGATTAAATACCCTTTGCGCGCGGCGACATGAGCAAAGCGTGGGTTAAAGCTGCCCCGGCGCTAACCCCAAAAATCGTCACGTTGTCAGGATCTCCTCCGAAACTGGCAATATTTTCCCTCACCCATTCCAATGCCGCGATCACATCTTTCAACCCTTGATTCCCTGGCGCCACTTTGTCACCCAGATTTAAAAATCCTTCAAATACAAAATTACGAAAATACGAAAATTAAACTCTTTAACTGGATCATTTCTTTTTAGCAATTGGATATGGAAACTCTTTTGATTTGAACAGATAATAGATCGATACTTCTTGAATGGCTCGATAATCCAATTGCATTCAAGAGAAAAAAATTATTTCAAAATAGAGAAACAATGAATCTGTATGATTTTAGATACTCGATACTTTAATCCGATAAATGGATAGATAATCGACGAAACTGACCGAATGCTCCGAGCCTGTAGTTAGTCGTGACGACGACAACGTCTTTAGCGAGCAAATAATCAGGTCTGAAGTGTTGAAAGCTTGAGGAGCCTATCGTAAATGCACCGTCATGAATCCAGAACATGACTGATTTCTTTGATTGTGAAAGGGAGTTAGTGTAGACGTTCAGATACAGGCAATCCTCGTTGCCGATAATCAATGGTGGAACATCTTGGGCCTGGGAGCAGATGTACTCGTTAACGTCGGATGTGTCCTTTACGCCAGTCCATGGTTCAGGTGGTTGCGGGTCCTATATTTTTTTTTTTTATAAAAAAATTGCACGAATCAAGGTTATTAAACGGTGATGTTTAATAACCTTGGTTAAAATAATATCGCAATTGCAGTTCGAAACTTTATATTTAGATTTCAATAAATCGACTCGACGATTTCTAAAATAAACTTCGAATGGCAAATAATTTATTAGTTAGATTTCTATATTTTGCATTCTAGTGTATAATAATTCTTTTCAATTCAAGGAGGAAATTATGTAATATATATAAAATTCAAATCATAAGATTAGTTGCTTAATTAATGATGATTAAAAAAAAAGAAATTATTATTAAAAAGAAAATTGTTGTCATACCTTGAATCTGAGCTCTCCAATGGGGGGAGCAGCGAAAGGTATTCCTCTGAAAGCTATGTATCGAGAGCCTAGGCTACTTTCTAGTTCCGCACCTTTTAATTTGCCTTCTTGTACGATTACTATTAAATCACTCATTTTTTTCACTAAGTTCTTATTCAATTATTATTATTGCAATTATTATCGTTGTTATTTCGTATAAATGTTCACAGTTTTGACGCAAAGTCGGGTTCGAATTAATTTTGATTTTATATAATTTTAATTTAAGATTGCGTATTTTAAATTTTAATTTCTTTTCAAATTTAGATTCACCTTAAGACAAACCATCACTTGTAATTCGTAAGAATACTCAACTGCTAATAGTGTACTTACATGTAAGATTAAATTAATCTCGAATCTTATAAAAATATAACTATCTAACTTGAGTCTTATATACACAATAAAACTCTATATTAAGTAATTTTATACTCGGATTAAAAGATATCTGTTTATTCTTTATCCATGTATTTTTGATTTATACTCTATTTATCTTCTTTTTTTTTATTCCCATCATGCACTTTTTTGTCCACTTCCGTTGTGAAATGAATATGTAACCGATTTGTAAAGATTTTAAAGTAGCAAATAAAAAGCTGAATAAATTGCAAAAAAAGTAATTATATAAAATACAGAACATAATGATGTTGGATAAATTATATAATAAAATACTCGGCGGTATAAAATAGTTAGATTAAAAAAAAAAAAAATACCTAGACAACCGACATCGACATCAAATCATCAAATAAAAAAGAATATTGGAAACACATTAGAAAATCAATAATAATAAACTGTGATTTCCAATGTATTTACCAATTAGATATTAAAACACAATGTGATACTTTAAGTATTCGAATAAGTACACAAAATAAAAAAAAAAAAAATAACGTGAAAATAATAAATTATTATTAATTATTATTAATTATTATAATAGATATAATTATTATAATAGATTATAATTATTATAATTATATATAATTATTACTATAATTATTACTAATATATATAATTATTATATATAATTATTACTAATTATTACAGATATTATAAAATATATTACAGATATTATAAAATATATGAAAGTATCAAATGAAAATAACAAATGTTATTACATGCAAAAAAATAAAAGACGAATTGTATTTACTTGATATAGATACTTTGATTTTTTCTTGAAAATGATGTCGATATCGTGTACAAAGAATAAATAAGCGAAAACAAAAATTAGATAAAAATTGAAAAGTGCAATTAATAAACATAAATTTTAAAAAAAAATTTGATTTTCTCGAAAATGAAGCATCATTGTCCAGGCAGTGTTAAAATTTTATAACTTATGGGACAATCTAGCAGAGATGCCGATATCGCTATGATGTCATCGATTATTACAAAGAAGAAGACAATTATATCACTTATTATATTATCATTTAACATCTGAATAGCATTCAATATATTAGTCTGTATTTAATACACGGTGCTAAAAGTTTTATTATATCGTAAACTTTTTTAACATTATCGTTTTTTTTTTTTTGTATAAAAGAATACGTGAGTAATAAATATATTGTTATTTCGAAGTCTTTTTTTCAGAATTGAATTTATATTTTTACGTAATATATTCTACGTTTCAATTCATTTTATGCAACAGTGATACTCTTGTATTTAATAAACAATTTCAGGCTTGATTCTTATATAGTTGTATAATATGATTGTATAAATATTCCGAATTTAATTAATTTAATTAATTTAATTATTTGAATAATTCATTTTCGAAACTATCTCGGTATCAAATGATATTTCTGATGAAAAAAATATTTATTTACTCATATCCTAGATTTGTGCGATTATCGTTTGGAATGAATCATAGCGATAAAATAATGAAAAAATTTTCAAGATTTTTTTCAAGATTCGAATTTTCAATTTATCGAGAAATTACAAAATATCTATATATTATCGGGAGGAACGATTTCTTGCAAAAAAATTATTGAATAATAATTTATCAAAAAAATTACCTTATGGAGTAGACAAATGTGGTCTTTATAGAAAAATGATTTTAAAATCATGCGTGAATTTTACTTAATCGAATATACGATTTTTATATGATGAATTTTAAAAGAAATGTTGAATTTTAAAAATATATCTATCAATTTCGCAACAAATGATTATGATATTATAACATTGTTAACAACTTTCATGGCTGATGTTACTGATTTATATTGATTATCTTCACGATTGATTATTTTTTTTTTTAAATGTTCAATTATTGCAATTTTGATAACAATCGGCATAATTTCTTTTTTTTTAATTTATTTCACTGTTAAAACAATCGAAATTTAGATTAGAAAAAAATATTATTTCGTTCATTTTGTTCATTACAATTTCATAAAATAAGGAAAAATTAATATAAAATAAAAAATAAATATTATTCGATAATTAATCTGAACTCACATTCCCTTGAATGCTTCACATATTGAATATAGAATAATAAATAATATTAAAATTGTAATTACAAATAATTACAAAAAATTACAATATGATATAAATCAAAGCTCAAAATTTCAATATTTTTTTGTTCTTTTAAACTTGACAATTGATATATTTTATAACTAATATATATATAATGATAATAACTTTTTTATATGATAATTTTGTAATAATATCAGATAGAGCAAAATTTTAAATCAAAATATTTTTAATGATTTATCACTCTGTCGTAAAAAATATTGTAACCATTCAAATTATAAGTGTATGCAAAATTGAAAAAAAAACTGAACCTTTCGAGGATTGACTTTATTCGTTCAAAAAAATTTTCCATCGATAAAAAAATTGCTTCATTAAATAAATAGTGTCATCATATTTGAATTTTTTTAATTGAATTTTCTTATATTATAGAATATTATAAAATATTAATTTCGACTATTTTTATTTGTTGCTGTCTATATCTTTAATGAAAATAATATTAATCAAAATTTGATTAAATTCAAATTTAATTAATTTTATCCAAAACGAGAAAAACAAAGTTAAAATTATTGTAAATAAACAATTTTATTTGATTAATTTTAATTGCTTATTAATAATTCCTTCGTTTATTTTTTATAATTATATTTTCTAATCGAACATTGTTTAATTCTTTAATGCAAATCTTTTCTAGAGTCGTATATAATAATAAATAATAATATATATAATACCAATAATAATTTTTTATATCGTTATATTGAATTTTAAAATCTATAGTATAGATTTACAATTTGCTCTTTTTTATAATAAGACAATTGATAAAATAAAAAATATACAAATTGTACTCATCTATTTTTAAACTTTAAATTGACGTGCAACATGTATTATTCAACTTTTGAGTTATTTTTTTTTAAATTAGTAAAAAAACTAATCGTTTCATATATATTAACTTAATATAAAACAACTACTCGAGTGAATAATCGAAATTATAATGACTTAAATTATAATAATAGCGACATCTATTCAATAAAATTCTACTAAGATGTACTTTTATAAAAATTTGCAGATTTTTATTGCTGCTGTAGCAAAAAATAATAAGTTCAAATTTACCTTTTAATTAATGGATAAAATTTACAAAAGTCTCTCCATTGGCTTAAAAAAAACTTCAAATGTTTCAAATCTAATATAATAAATCAAAATCTTGAAAATCAAACCTTTTAATGCGTATAATACAATACATACACGTCACAAATACACATAAAATACGCGAATTCGTACATGAGAATATAATAAAAAAGTTAGATTTTTTTACTTTTATTTCCTTCACTTTGATTCTACACGCACCAAGTCAAGTGAGAAACATATCGAAATATGATTCTTTTGCATTTATTTTACATTTATTTCACAATATGTCATACGAAATTTAAATATTAGATCTATCCTACACCTCGTCTACGATATAACTAATGGCAGCGATAAACTACGGCAGCAATTTACCATACTTTATACCTTATAGCCTATACTTCTCTAACGGTTAAGATTAGATATAATTATTTACAAACAAATCGAACGAATAGATTTCGATGATTCTTAGAAAACAATATTTTAGACAATTATTACACATATAACCGCATAATTTTTGAAATATTTTCAAATAAAATATAATTGTTTTATTATATTCTAATATAACGTGTATTATTTGCTTATTCTATCAGATGGATCAAAATTCAAAATGTAAAATAGATGAATTAATTAAAAATTAGTTTTTTACGAGTTTGAGAATTATCTGTCTAGTGCCATTCTAATTCTATCCAGGAGGAATTTAAGCGAAAATAAAATATAAAACAATTCTTGGAATTCTTCTTCCGAAATTATAATGACAAGAATGAAATATTTCTGTCTTCTATTTATTGCAATTTGTCAATGATTAATTTTTTTAATCTGGTCATTTTGTTATCACGTGTTATTATGTGTTCACATTGAGAAGAAATAAATTACGCACACTCGCATTAAGAATGTATAGATAAAATTCTATTAAGTATTCTGTATAATTTTATTATAAGTAATTAGCAATTTTGTTTTTTTAAAAAAGCACTTTAGATAAATAGTACAGCGTTATCGATACTTTTCTCTCCTAATTCATTTATCGCTTTAATACTATTACTATAATATTATAACTATTTATAAGAAGAATTTGATAAAAAATACGTTGCCTTATCAATCTTTCCCTAATTCGTTTATCTTTTTAACGATAAAATGAAAAACTTATTTAAAAAAAAAATTATTAAAAGATATTTAAATGAAATAATAGAAAAATCGAGAAAGATCACTAAACTGCACATAAATATTCAATGTTTTTATTTTAAATTTACTGGGTTTTTATTTTGTAAATCAAACGCAATTATAATTAAATAATAAAATATAATTATAAGTATACTCAATCATAATTTAAAATTATATATAGTTTTTTTAAATAATAAATCGTTAAAATATTGAATACATTTAAATACATTATATACAATAAATAATAAATGACATATTAACGATGTGCATGATTTAATAATCAATGTATATAATACATAAATATGACATTATAATAAAATGTATATAAAATATATTTGTATATATTATATATGTGTATAAAATATGCTGAAAATAAAATATAAAAAGATTAATTTAACATTTATCGTTTAAAGGAAATCAAGAATTAATCGATTTTTAATTGATAATAATTGATAAATCTTGATTAAAATCTATCAAAGAAAATATGAAAAAAACATCTTTGTATTTTTTCAAATGCTCTGAAATTTTAAGGAATGGGAGAAAAGGGGAAAAAAGAAACTTAGCTTCGAGTCTTCGTTAATTTCTAAGATATTATTATAAACTTTTGATATGATACTCTTGACAATGAATGCCTCATTACGAGCTTATCTATTTTTTTATAAAGTTTTATATATTTCTAAATAATTTCTTTCTTATGAATTACAACGTTATCAAGTTTTCTAAGTACATGTTATGAGAATGTTCTCTATAAATTACTTGATCACTAGCATAAAAATGTTTTGCTTTATTATTATTTATATATAATTAATTCTATGTAATAATAATTATTCTATGTAATAATAATTAAAATGTATTTCGTTATTAAATATTAATACATCAAATGAACACATTTCTGTAATCTTTGTTAGAATTGCTTTTTAACATTTCATTTTTGCATTATTTTTGCATTATTATACATTGATACAATTCCATTACATTCTCAAAGATATAATATATACATAATATAAATGTATAAGTATATAGTAAGTGTGCAATTTATTTTATATGCTTCCATAGAAAGAAATACATGGCAATATAATTTATTCTGATGGTCATGATATTAATTTTACAAATTTTTATTTAATCAGAATTTTTTTATATGTAATAGGTAAATCTTGTTGAACAATATATTTCTTTTTTCTTGTTCCATATGAAATTCTATATTGGACAAAATGTTGATTCTTATTAAAAGAATTCATCACGACAAAATTTCTAATTGAGCAATCTTTATTACATTAGATATCTGTGATTTTATAATATTAAAATTTTATATATATTATATATAATAAATATACAATAAATTTTGAAAGTTAATAATTCAAAAATAATTTATAAAAAATACACGTCTAAATGTTAATTATAATAAAATTTAATTCTAATTTTCTCAGAATTCTTCAACAATTTATGATATCATTATGATATTTTTTTTTTTTTCACATAATTTTCATTTGATAAATATTAATATTTTTTTTCCATATTTCTGATATTTTAATATCATGTTTAAACATTTAAAACGGACATATTGTATACAATATAAGATTAGATACATGATTAACTTAGATTACACTTAAGCATGATTACGTAGCATCCCATATACATAATGAAAGGAAAAATATGAAACTTATATAAGATTATAAAAATGATTAAAATTATAATTTTAAAAATATATGCATAATGAAATTATATAATATCGTTAATGATAGAATATTAATCATTCATTAATATTAACCATTCAAATTCGAAGATATTAAATAGATATTACATTTATATTTATATTTTTTTATTCTTCATTTTTAATTCCTCATTAGATTCCTCATTTAATTCCTCAAAGATAACGAGATAGACACAAGTACGCAATGCAATCATTAGAATAAATAACAGTATATTTATTTTTTATATTTTTTTTTAAATTAGAACTTAATTTAAGAAATTTAATTTAATCAGAAGAATCTTATTCTCAAGAATGATTTTAGATCCGGCCTTATTAAATGATAAAAACTAACAAAAAATAGAATTTATAATTGAATTGAGATAACCACAATGTTTTTCATTAAAGTTTATCATCAAATCTGAATTCCTTAAAGAAGCTATTATATATTTATTATGCCATGAATCCAAAATAAAACAAGGTTTTAATTAATCAAAGAAATTATATGTGAATATTTAAATAGAAATAATCCTGTTATTTTATAATTTATTATCAATTCATTTTTGAAAAATGTAATTTATAGGCAGATATATTCATCAATTTAGACAATGTCTTTTATGTCATGGTTCAAGATTTTAAATTTCTTTCATAAAAAATAATATTTCACAAAGATTAAACAATATTTATGAAATCGATAATATAATCTTTGATACAAAATATTATTATCATTATTATTATTTAGAAATAAATTATTTAATTAAAATATCATTACATTATACATAATTTATAATTAAATATGATAAAGTATCATATAAATTAATATGATAACAGGATAGAGTTTTGCTTCATAGTTTTAACTATGATAAATGGAAATGTATAATGATATAAAAAAAAAAAAAAAATAGATAAAAATACAATATAAGAAAACGTGTTGAGCAAGAGCAATATTTTATTAATTGAACGTTTGATTAATTGAATGTAATAAAAAACTCTTCTTTGAAAAGATTAGCTAACATCATATCAATTTATAGTCGCTTGTGAATTATATATTGTTGCTATAAGATTTTTTTTTTTTTTGGTATATTAAGTTATTACATAAAATTAAGATTAAATTCTATTTTATAGTATTTGATAATAAAAAGTTTTAATGATAAAAAATTATTGTATGTATAAATTATAAGCGTTTAAAATTTATTTTTTAATATTTTCTATTTTTAATCGCTTTATTCCTAATTTATTTATTGAGAGATTATTTATTAACAGACGATTAAAAATTTGATATCAATAGGACAATCTGGATGAAAGAATTAAACAATATTTACAACATAATTAAACATAATTCAACGTTTATTTTAGTACGAAGCATCTAAAGGGAACAAAAGGAAGATTAAAAATTAATAAAATTAAAACAATTCTTAGATATTATAAAATGTATATATATATATACCTTTATTACCTTTATTACCTATTCAAAATAAAAATCAATGTTATTATTTATTATCTTATGAATATAACAATATATAAATACATAAATGTCATAATTAATCATCATTGTTTGTAGTACATTCAATTATTCATAATTATTCATTTAATATATTTTTTTATTACGTGATTGAAAAATCATATGTTATTTTAAACAAAACATGTATACATATAGCGAAAAGAATCTATCTTATTTACAATTCTTTTAGAAATGTTTAATAATCTTCATATAAAAAGTATTGAGTAGTCAAGTAATCAAGTCTAAATATAAATCTAATAATGCTTTAAAACTTCCTTATTTATATGTGTGTATGTATTAGATATG